ACCATCTCTCTCAATACACCAAGTAGGAAACCACATCATATTCTGCATGTCTCCGTTATTTATTTAAGATGCAATTCTACTATCACTTTGACTTTAATGTTACTATACCATAACTCAGGGATGGATACTTAAGGGATCTTTCTTGATTTCAGAAATGTAGAAGGAGTCAGACAAAATGTTGAATTTGCAATGCCACTTCAATAGCAAAAATGAAAAAGAATAAGGGAGCTGACAGTTGTTTTTATTTCTTAATAGAAAACATAAACATCTGTAAAATACAACCTCTGAAGACAATTTCAGACATAAAGGAAAACATCTGTTCGAGTCCTGAACACTCATTAAATTACTGAGTTTCCAAAAAAGTTCGTGCCTATGTTAGTGAAGTCTGTTGTTATTTACCAGAACACAAAAGAAAACTGAAAAAAAAATTAGTATTAATAACTCATCTTTTTTTTTTTTTTTTTTGTGGAACCGGGGACTGAACTCAGGCCCTTGTGCTTGCCAGGGAAGCACTTATTCTACTGAGCCATTCTCCTCAGTCCTTCAATAACTCATCTTAAATACCAGTAAAAAGCCCACTCCATGCTAACATCAGGGACATACTGTTGTGAGAAATATCTATATTTTCCAAAATAAAATATAGAGCTAGGAGGACACTTTCGTGTTTTTACAAGGCTTTTAAATGTTTCACTTAAAACAGATTTTTATTCTCCTTTTTCAATTAATTTGTCTTTCTTTGTTGTTTTGGTTGACGTATAAAGAAAATTCAGTCTTACATAAATATGTAACTTGGAATAGGATTAAGATTTTAATAGAGACTGGGGAGATAGCTCAGTAGAATAAGCGCTTGCTTGGCAAGCGCAAGGGCCTGAATTCAATCCTCGGTTCTGAAAAAAAAAAAAGATTTTAATAGTCTTCTCAGATGAATGTGGGTATTATTCTGCAATATCACATCAAAAATTTTCAAGAGTGATTTCTGAATTTCATTGCAATGTGTATTTTCTTACATTAAAATGCACTGGTCTACTTCGTACTTTGAATCAATCTTTTCCCAAGATTGTAATAATCTGAAAAGATTATTTGGAAAATATTGTTTTACTGAGCTGCACAGTTTTTCTAAATGTTGACATATTTCATCACACAAAACTATCACACTGGTTAATATCACCATCAATCTTATCTGAAAAGTCTTTTAAGTTCTGGAAAACAGCCAACCTCAGTTTGGCAGATCAAAGTGCTACAAAATTCAAATTTTCATTTGAAAGATAAAAATTTTTATTCTCAGTAAGCGCTGTCAGTTGTTTTCCAAGTAAAGAATGGATCACTCCATTTATTTTCATGAAAACGCCTGCCAAATAGCCTCGTCTGAAAAACCAAGCTTTGTTATTTTTTCAAGTAAAAACGGTATTCCACAGCAACAGCAACTAGCTCGCTTTATGACTCAGAATCTGAATGAGGCACCTTCCCTAAAATACTTTTGATGCTTGGAGAGCGGAGCAGAAGCACTTCGTATTTCTCATTTTGTGACAGGAAGCAACCAAAAGAGAAAAAGTCAGGGGTCATATTTTATAAAAACTAATATTTTGACTGCTTCATGAGACAGCACTTCTCAGGCGATGGCTGTGTGCCGTGAATGCTGGGCCCCAACACTGCCACACAAGGGTGACAGAAGCCAGCGGTGCGGCCATCCTTCCTCAGCAGTACAACGTGTTGATAAGGGAAAATCATCTTAGTGTTTTGTTTTGTTTTTCTTTTTGTATTTTAGGGAAGGGTCTACAAAGTGTTCAGGGTCTCACTACTAGATCGGACTCGTAGTGATCCGCCTGTTTACAGCCTCCCAAGAGCTGGGATTACAGGCACGCGCCACCACGCCCAGTCTCAACTGCCATCTCAGTGTGCCCCCGGGGGCGGGACAGGCACAGCAGAGGGGATCAATCTGCTGAGCTATTTGGCCAGCCCCTTCTTAGTGTTTTTAATAAACTTAGGCTTTGACTTTGCAGCCCCTGTGGAAGGATTTCAGGAAATTCCAAGGTCCTCAGGCACACCTTGAGAATGACTCTAGTGAGTAATCAATAAACACTGGTGGGAGCAGAGAAGATGCTCAGCAGCACGTGTCCTGCCTGGCAAGCACAAGGCCCTGAGTTCAATCCCTGGTACCAAAAGTAAATGAATAAATAATAAAGACTGGTGGTGGTGATAATGACATTAAAGGCTCGTGTCTTCAAATCACATCAAGATAAAATGCAGTTCTGTGTTTCTATTCTCAATGGTTTCAAGAATAAAAATTCTGCAATCTTCCTGGTAATCAAAGCTCGAGGATGACCGTCACAGACTCAGTATCAGTTGTCCTATATAAGCCACCTAAACATTTTTCTTTTCAAAACAGATACCCTCTATTTCTGTCCCATGTACACCTGGCAAAGAACCAATTTTATTTTCTTTTTCTTTCCAGCGTTTTAGTCTAGGCGCTGTGGCTTACAAAGGCAAATTTTCTCTTCTGCAATATTGAGGTTTAGGTCTACAATGGAGCTCAAGGCCCCATGCGCTTGGAAGGTGGCTGGATCATGCGAGCATGAGGCTGCCCTGCTCTGACCTGAGGACAGGTCACTGGGGGTGTCACGGGCAGCTTCTTCCTCAGTGTCCCGTGACTCGCTGCTCTCCGACCATGTGACGTGGGCAGGCTTCCCTCCACTTCGCCCTCTGCCGCGCCCTCCTGCCTCGGAACAGTGCACTAAGGCCTAAATTCGTGGGTCAACATAAACCACTGCGCCCTTCCACCACTGGTGCCAGGCATTTCCTCCCAGCCATGAGAAAGTCACTAGGACAAGCAACAAAAGACTTGGCTGGAGCAGACTGACAGGGACAGACGAGTTCGCATACAGGGACACCTAAAGCAACACCATCCAGTTTCTATGCAGTGGGATGGCAAGCGAAGCCACCATTGGAAATTTATCTGTCATGGTCCAGAAAAACAGAAACCACTGAAAACCTATTCCTTATTTTAGGAAGCTTTAAAAAGTTCGCTGGGTACTTTTTTCAGTTGGTTGGTTTACGTAGTCTAACTAAATCTAAATGTGTCTAAAAGCTGAACCGTTGTATGTCCATTCATAGTTTGATATTAAAATATATCCTTAACCCACCCCAGGTTTACTGAGCGCCTGCCCTACTCCACTTTGTCTCGGTCCTATAAACACAGTAAGGGGCAGTTAGATCTCAGCACACACACAGCTCTCGCATTTTCTGACACAGATATAGCCAGGAAATAAGTAGACTTATAAATAACAAGAACTTGAGAACATGATCAATGCTACACAAAATTAAAACTATGGATGGATGAAGTGGGACAAGGTGGGAAAGGATGACCCTTTACTTGTAGTATGATTTTTACTGCGGCAACAGCTCTGGAGCTGCCGAGAACAGCACTACAGGAGGAGAGGCTGCCAGTGCTGCCGCCATGAGACAGGAGCCTGAACAACTCAGAGGGAAGCGCGCTGAGCGAAGGACCCAGTGAGCCCAGCCCGGCGGGAGCCACAGGAGGGGCCAGACTGTGACAGGCAAAGGGAGTCTTACCTGGCATGACCTACAGTGGTCCGCTGTCCAGATTAAAGCTATCTAAGAAGAGAGATAATAACACTGAAGATGCAGGCAAAAAGACAACACATTACGAATCACAAGAGGGGGGTTCGGATCCCAATCCTTCCATTTATAACTTGGAACAAGTAAAAGTTAAGACTCATCAGCACGAGCAACCACCAAGACCTGGGCTAGGCATGAGTTGATTTTGTTTCCCTTAATACAACTCAGATTAGTTACTTCTAATTGCTAAAGCTCAGATACACACGGAGCCTAACAGTTCATACACGCTGCACTTACACTCCAGGTTATCTGGGAGGCGAGTAAAATTAATGTATAGCAGGTTTTTGATGGCGGAATGTCCACTTGAAGGCATTGTTGCTACAGGAAACAGTCCTTTGCTAAGCTGTAAGTCTGTGTGATGTTCACTGTCCCCGGGGTAGGGCACTCTGCTTCGGATATGAAGAAGGCCACTCTGGGAGGATGTCCTCTGGTGGCCAGAGGTGCAGGGGCAACCTGACATCCTACACAGCCAGGTGTGCCAGGGCAAGCGACCGTAAAGCCTGTGATCTAGATATTTTTTCCAAGTTCTATTCATGCCTATTTTTCTTTCCATTTTTATTAGTACATATTAATACTATGGAATATTGAATTTCATCATGACATTCTCATATTCGTACTAAGATACACATCTTGATCACATCTCCCATCTCTTTTGCACAACTTACATACACACCCTTCTAAACCTAGTAGAGGCAACCTGCCAAAGAAAAGGCGCTCTTGTTTCCTGGCAGCCTTCTGCAGCCACCAGCCTGTCACCGTCTCACACAACACCTGTGCAGTGGTGCCATGGCGTCTCCAGTGACCACACAGGAAACCAAGATGATTACGAATCTCTGAAAACTTACAAAGAACCAATAAGCACAGTGTAACAATCTAATGACGTACACTGGCCAAGAAGGTTCATAAGAAAGGCGCTCACACCCAACGTGGAGGAAGGTTTTAACTATCAGTTTCACATACGAAAAAAACACCCCAAGTCACATCTGAACAAAACTGCATCTGCACTTACTTATAGAATCAATACACATTAATTCTCTTACTTATGTGGTCTATAAAACAGCAGCCAAAACTAAATTACATATAGCATGTAATTATGTATCCTTCTGAAGTACACCAACTTTAAAACTAATTGTTAAGGTTTGCTGACTTGTCACTTCCGTCTTAATGCCTTCTGTCATTAAGCTTACTGAAGCTGTGACCTCAGTGGCTCAGGGCTGTAATTCACCTCTGCAATCGCTGGCTCTAGTACACTTCTGGATCTAGCGCAGAGGCCTGAGCAATCTCACCAAAGGAAGGAAGGCTCAGCCCCAAATGAATCCACCTAACGTGAATTTCTCACCCTGAATTCCAGGCTCACCGCTTACCTCTGGGATACAAGCTCCTGTGAAACCGAACAGGCCGTTGGCATTGTCACTCTTCTGTATTATTAATCTTGCTGTGGTGTTTTCTTCAGAAATGTGAGCTCCTCCATACACAGAGACTAATTTAAGAAAGAATAATTCTTCTCCTTCCTCTTCATTGTCATCTCTTGCAGAAACAATAAATGATTTGTTAGTTTCTCCCTGCCTGAACTCCAGATAGCCAGAAACGGGGTGTAAGTCACTCTTCGCGGGCATAGCGTGAAGCTCGTGGATTTCCTCCGGGGCCAGTTTCCGCTCATAGGCCCTCACGTCCTGCATCACTCCCGTGAACCTGTCGTGGCCATTCGTGCCTGCCCCAATCCTCAGGGTTCCGGGACCTGAAATCAGATGAGGGGTCAAGTGTAACAATATCCATCACTGAACTGTGCTAAGCATCACCTGTGACGCAGAAAATGGGACTAGCTTAGTAAGATATTTTTGATTAAGATATTTTTAACACTTTTGCATAATTACCATACAGTCAAATAAAGGTTACTTTAATTTACACTCAAAACAACTAAAGTAATCTCTAGTGTTTATGATATTTTGTCCTACAAAAACTGCTATCTGCAAACTAAGTGATGTCCTTAAAAGGATCATCTATCAGTCTGCTAAGAGCATTTGATAGGGTAATAGCTAAGTGGATACA